AGAAGTGATATTAGTTTCTCCTTTACTATCCTGACAAGATTGAGCCTGTGTTTTCTCTACGACAGGTGGTAGAAGCCATAATTCACAGTTTGGTAGAGAAATGGGAAGGGAACTGATATTTAAATATTTTATTTTAAATTAAAATATTGGTAATATTTAAGTGTAAGTATATAAAGACCAATTATCCTATCACTTACACATGTGTAAATCAGGAATAAAGTCAGTGCAGTTACATTGGTGTATAACTGAAAGAGGAACCAGGCCCCTACACAGTTAGGACTCAATTCTGCATCTGTTCCAGATATGGAACTCCTATTGGCTTCTGTAGGAGTTTCATCTGCAGAATGGGAGCAGAATCAAGCCCCTATTCGTTTGGGATCTTAAATATTTTAAATACATTGTTCCCTCAAAACTGTGCTGAACTTTAAGAGATGTCTGTGAATTTTTAACATTCATTTTTTATAAGGATTTTGCCTAGAAATTGTAATAAGGCTATAGTTCAAATTTTGGAGGAGGTGCAAAAGTTGCTCTCAGACTAGTGATTTTAGTGTCCAACACCCAGCTAATTTTTTTTTTTTGCAGGTGACTAAATGTACGACATGAACTGTCTGACTGAAATCATTATTCTCCCTGTTGTGGTTGTCTCATTTAAAAGAAAAAACATTTATTTCACAACAAATTCTAATCTCTTTCTCCTTTTTTTTTTAGATGACCATGCACCCGAATGTAATTGTACAACAACTCTCTGTTCGATATTTTCTCAAGGAATGTATTACCTTTATCCCTTCAACATAGAGTATCATATTTTAGCATCCACAATGCTCTATGTCCTGTGGAAGAATATCGGACGCAAAGTAGAACACCACCACCAACACAAAATACTGTTCAAGTTTCATGGCATAACAGTGGGCACGATTTTTGGACTAATTGTGCTGATTAGCACAATAGCAGTCGTTGTTGTGTACTTAATTCAGATAGGACGTTCGAAAATCAAGAGTGAGTTAGCACTTACTATGTTTTACTTATATGCTATCTCCGTACTGACTCTTATGTGTGCAACTGGAATTGTCGCCCTTCTAATTTACAGACTAGAAGAAAGATCAATGGATAATTCAAAAAATCCTGCCAGGAAACTTGATGCAGACCTATTAGTTGGCACAGCTTCAGGTTCCTGGCTCCTCTCTTGGGGTTCTATCCTAGCGATTATCTGTGCCCAGTCTCATCCGAAATACACATGGTACAATCTTCCTTATTCCATCCTGGTTATTATTGAGAAATATATTCAGAATCTCTTTATCATTGAGTCCATACATCGTGAACAGGAAAAAGTGAATGATGATATTAAAACTCTTCGAATAGTAACTGTATCCAGTGGGAGCACTCTGTCACTTACCCCATCATACAAAGAAATTTACACTGGAGCAGCTGATATGGACAATGGAAAGTTTCCATACATGTTTGATGGGAATATCTACATGAGAGAAAGAAGTGGCGGTGATGGTTTTGATGAAGTCAGGAGTCAAGCTAGCAGTCCAGTCACACACTCAACCTCCAATTTCTCACTGTACAATCGAAACTCAGTTAACAATAAGAGGAGAATCCTGAAGAACATTGCAGCATTTTTATTCCTGTGTAATCTTTCGGTAAGGTATTTTGAATGTAATTCACAAAATTAATACC